TAGTAATAACAAAGAACTCGAGCTAATTCGTATAAGTTGAATATTTTAACTGTAAGATAATTATCGAATTTTCAAATCTGGCAAAAATTCAATAAATTAATTTTTGTATGCTTAATTCGAAGACGAATCAATCTTTTCAACCAAGAATCGATTCTCGATACAATCTCCCACAAAGAACGAATTATGTTTTCCTCGGATTCTATTGAAATTCTATTCGTTTTTCTCCTGTTATAATAATTGAGAACGAAGGAGAGCACAGACGAAGCTTTATACACGCAATAATGTAAATACGGAGCATTTGCTTATAATAGCTCGGGATCGTTTGCTAAGAAATTAGCCTCTGACACGGATAATATCATTACAATGGAAGGAATTTAGTTATTTGTGCCATCCAACCCCATTGAAGATAAGATTCAACAAATTCCTTTCCAACTGTACGTATTAAATATCGAGATGAATGCAATCCGTTTATGATTTATCGGATCGTTACATTATAGATTAATTATAGCACAGAAAGCAACGATGGAATCACGATGAAATGAAATTAATTCAAGTAAACTCGATATAGTCCATCCGACAAACGTTCCAACAAAACGATGCAACGTGTCACGAAATATTCCTAAAGACCAATCACAAGAAACTTAAAATTAAGATCGAAACGATAAAGATAAATTTCTCTTTTGAATGTTAAAAGGATTGTTAAAAAGAACCCTTTGTTGCAACAATTTTGGAGGCTATGGAGAGGGACTTTCGTTCCTCCGCCATCAGGGATACTCGATAGTAATGTTTTTTTATCGAATAGGATAGAATCACGATGAAATGAAATTAATTCAAGTAAACTCGATATAGTCCATCCGACAAACGTTCCAACAAAACGATGCAACGTGTCACGAAATATTCCTAAAGACCAATCACAAGAAACTTAAAATTAAGATCGAAACGATAAAAATAAATTTCTCTTTTGAATGTTAAAAGGATCGTTAAAAAGAACCCTTTGTTGCAACAATTTTGGAGGCTATGTAGAGGGACTTTGGTTCCTCCGCCATCATAGATATTCGATAGTAATGTTTTTTTATCGAATGGGGGGGTGGGGGGCGACGAGGAGCGTGTCAGAATGAATGTGACGCCGGCGTAACGTCGCGGCGGCTCCGTAGCAAAAACCGCGTCACGTACTCTTCTCGCGTGTCTCCTCTTCTTGTACGACTTCTTCTTCTTCTTCCTCATCTTTTACTCTTCTTTCCACCCGCCTCAGGTTGTCTCCTCCGCCGTGGAACACTTGACGGACGACGATGGTCCTCTATGCAGCGTTCCAGGACGCGTTCAATCGTTGCTCCGTCTCCTTGGCTCGTTTCTCGCAAGCAGACGACGCCGGCGACTACTATCTGCCACTTCACGTTGCCACCAGTCCACGAGTGCGCTCCTCGTGCGAGGGGGGAAAAAATTCCCGGCTCGATCAACGACATAATTTGCATGCCGCGCTTACGCGCCGCGGAAAAAACCACGGCGACTCGGTACCGCGCGATCTGGATCCTCGAATTACCGACCAAACTCCTCGAGTACGCGGATTATCGAGTAGCTCCGGACAATCGAACCGAGTAGCGACGAAATACCAAAGTGACCGTGGCCACCCGCTTAACTGACCTCTGTGGGTCTGGCTCTCTGATCAGATAACCGAGCAGTCTCGTTCTAAGCGAAAACTGTTTATTAGAAGAGAGGTTTTCGACATATTTCGTGATAATTCACCTTCTTTCGACTACTGGTTATTGTTTAAATATTATTTTTCTTATTAATTTTATTTTATGTTCGTACATATTTTATCAAAAATACTGGAGATAATGGCCAACTAGAAAGTACAATTTATTTACCACACTGGTGATTGTTTAAACAATATTTTTCTGACTAACTTTATTCTATATTCATGTTAATTGAGATCAAGAAAAATGAGCCTGCAAAAACGTTATAGAAGTAAGCTTTTATCAGAGAGAATGGTTGAGGAAATATCCTAAAAAAATTAATATTAAAGTTGTTATTTATAAATTGGTGTCTGTTTTTGAAGAAATATTATTTCATTGGCATAAATCCTGTTGAAAATTAGGGCCTGTTGTGGGAAAATTCATCGAGCAGAACGAGTTTTTTAAGAACACGAAATTTTTTAGAAACGAAATTTAAAAAAGAAATTTTGTTTGCAAACTCGTTAAAATATGTAAATCTGTTAACAAAGGAATATCATGTTTTATTGAAAAGTATTTTTGAACGGCAGTGTATATGAATGGAATAAGTATAATGGATTTCATAAACCGTTCGTAACAGATAGTCGAAATTTTACGAAAATACAGAGGGAACGTATTTGAATACTTGTTCAATCATCCACTCGAATGATTGTTAAATAATTTCAGCCAAATAAATGTCACGACGTGTTTATACAAACAAACGATAAGTGGTGGTCTCGAGCTGGCCAGCCAAATATGTTTCGATCCTTAAAACCTAATATGCAAATATTTCGAAAACTAAAATCAACGTTTCCGAAGGAAAAAAGTTATTCAAAACATTGTCCTCTATGACTTATGACATATTTAAAAATCGACGAAATCGGTGAAGACACGGCTCTCCGACAAATATAAGATTTTATTATTTCAATATTATCCCAGGGAACGATTAAAAACAAATATGTCTGAAATGGTTTTGCACGCTGTGTAGCACGTGTGATTGAAATATATTCGGTGACGAAGTCGATGACGTCCCCAGCAATTCCACGGAACAAGAAAGTGTAAACTGGATGACTCGGTGGGCACATTCGTAGAAAGGATTTCGTCATTTCAGGAAACGGATCGTTTGAATTCGCTCGAAAAATGTAGTGACCAAACGCGTTGCAAATTCATGTTTTCGTGGAAAGAGTAATAACACAAGATTCGTTTTAAATTCGTCCAAGTTGAGTAGTCATTTTGGTAATAGCAATTATTAATAGTAATGTCTATAAAACGACATATTTAGATATTATCAAAACGTCTAATGACTGATTAGTCTCTTTAAGAACCAGAGACATTTCTCTTGCACATAATTAAAGCACTAATAGAACATTTAGATATTAAAAATGGTCTTTTGGAGTATACAGTACTCGAGTGCTAACCGATAAAATCAATCGTGAAATGGAATGCTTTATAGTAAGAGGAGAGGGGTTGATTTCGGCCTCAAAGATATTAAGACCCCTTTAAGCCAAGAGATTAGGCTTTTACGACTACCATGACATGTTGCCGCGATAACGTGCCTCTCGGTTCACGGAGAATTATGTTCACGCTTCGGGGAACCATAATGAGAATCAACCGCGAACTTTTGCTCCAATAGAACCCTTAAAACTAGATTTACAGGGACATTCGTTGCATAGATTTTCATTGAAATCCGTCATCTTGGCTAAAAATATGTATTCGTATCGTTAAATTGATCAGACTCAACAGAAAGTGCTAACAAATAATATTTATGAGTTAACTATGGAATTTTAAAATTTGGGTTTTGTAAATCTTAAGCACGTTGATAAAATAAAAATTTAAAAATATGTTCAATCAGTTCTAAACAAATACGAAGGACAGTTATAGTTTTCCTGAAAATTCAATATCCTTAAAATCGGTGTATTCGAAGCGCCATAGTTCGAAGAAGGTCGTAATCTCTTCTATAATTAATTTGAGGCGCTTTCTGTACTTTTGTTATTTTAGAATATAGTAATTCAATTTTGTTGACTAATTCGTCCGTCATATTTTCTACGCGCTGCTAGCACACTGTCAAGAACATCTATGGGATTACAAATTGAGCCTGAAGCATGATTTGTTGTGGGCTTTTGGTGGTTGAATTTATAGGAGGATGATTGTACGCGTTGCTCGTTAATCTTGAATGTTCCGCCGCTAATGTGGCGCATCACCCAGACGGTTGGACATGACAATTTGCTACTGTCGTCCGAGATTCATTGACACGCGTGATTTGCAGCGATTCGCCGCGTTTGCACCAGGAAGTATTTTCGGGGTTTACTATTGTCAACTCAACGCTAAACCTCACGTATGGTCACGTACACGCACAAATAAACACGAGTATTGTCTTATATTATGTGTACAAACACAAACACACACAAACTCGCGATTGTTCTCACTTGGAATAACATACAAACACACAAACTCAGTTGTCACTTTCAATCATATGCAAACACAAACGAACGCGATCATTGTCACTGGTGATTACCATATGTGATTACATACAAATACAGATAAACAAGGATTATTATCATGCATGATCTCATATAACATAGAATCTCATAGATATGTTAGCTTTAAAGTGATATCAAAATTTTTGCACAATTTTGGTATGGACCTCGTATTTTACAAAATTGGAAATTAATTTGGATAAGCAGAACTGTCGGGGAATCGTAGTAACTCTGAAGACACCATATTCAACAGAGTTCCACCGAAACAACTGCATCTCCATCGATTATAAATATTTTTCTATGAAAAAAATTCAGTTCTTGTTAAATATAGGCAAAAATATGCAATGAAACTCGGTATAAGAGAGTCATAGCTTGTTTTTTAATTTCAAGGAACACGTCGAAAGTTAACGTCTAGACTAGAGCACCCCTTAATCGAAGAACGATTAGAAATATTTTTGCATGAAAAAAATTGTGTTTTCTTGTTAAATATAGCCAAAAAATATGCAATGAAATTCGATACAAGTGTCATAGTTTGTTTTTTAATTCCAAAGAACATGTCAAAGATTAACATCTAGACTAGAACACCCCTTAATCGAAGAACGATTATAAATATTTTTCTAGGAAAAAATTGTGTTTACTTGTTAAATATAGCCAAAAAATATGCAATGAAATTCGGTATAAGAGTGTCACAATTTGTTTTTTAATTTCAAGGAATATTAACGTCCAGGTTAGAGCACCCTTCAATCGAAGAACGTCATCATGGTAGCATAGTTTTTTAGGGAGAGGCGTAGAACGAATTTGCTCGTTAGATCGGATGAAGGTATCGTTGTCCACGTCCACGCAGGGCATCTAGCCGACAGGCGGTGTCCAGCTGAGAGCCATCGGCTTCGGTAGCCGCGTTTTTCATCGGAGCGTCGGGGCCTATTCAAGTGTTGGCAGTTTTTCACGCGGCAGGCGACAAATATCCCCACTAAAATCCCCTTTAGACGAGTTCCTACGTGGCTGGGGATGTCACGCCGGATTGTATCCTCGGTGGCATTCACCATGTCGATCTCACGACGGTGACGACAAACTCTCCGCGACTCGTGCTCCGGTTTATTCGGGACCCTGATCGGCGATCTGCACTGTGGTAGCGCGCGACACTCGCCCGCGTAACTGTTCGTCGACGTAAAACCGTACCCCGTGACGATCGATTCGAGGGTCGAAGAGAAAACTACCCTCCACCGGATCAGCGTTTCAATTCTCGCGACGAATTAGCCTTTTAATCAAGATCCACTCGCCTGGTTGCACGCGACCAATTTTCATCCATTGCGTCGGTGTTACGAGGCGACTGACATTGATACGACGTAATCCGTAATCCGTAATCCGTAATCTGGCCTAATCCGGGCGAATTCTTGAGAAGTTCCGATACGCGCGCAATCATAGAAGAATTCGCTCGAGTATCGTCGAATACAGATTTCGCGGTACCTGTTACGATTCGACTAGGTCTCGATTGTTTAAATCGACGGTGCTCGACGGAAGGATTAATCAGTTCCCGGTGGATCGGTCGAGTGATCGATGCTGTTACCATCGGGTGTCGTTCGTAAGTGTTTGGAATTGTGTATCGTTCGGGACGCCCATTAATCATAACGCGTGCATTCTAGCGCGTGGCATTTATCAACTGTAGATCGTGTCGTTCTGATGAAAAATCAGTCGATCCGTGAACTCTCGAGCATAACGATAGAAGAGAGTATTTCGATCTCTGAGCCGGATTAGTGTCACGATTCGTCGAACTTACTGTATACATGGATTGAGATGATACGTGTACTTCGAACCGGTGACACGCAGATATGTTCACGGCGAATCGGTGAGTTATGGCTGAATTTACCCTCGGATAATCGATTCCCAGGGTTCGTTCGATCCAAATTCAAATTTTATAAAAGTAAAAAGTAAAATTTCATGGTCTTTTGAAACGATTTTCTATTTAATTTTCTATGTAATTGATTGAATTTTTTTATAAAAATTTAATTACTGCTTTTGGAAAAATTCACGTTCGTAAAATTAAATGTAGAACATACTATGCGATATTAAATATTTAGACACGTGAACGTTAAATAAAAATATCGAACTACATCTTTTATTTTATTAATCTGCTTTTTCTTTGCTTGGTAAAATACATGCATACTAATATGGTAAACTCTTAATACATTTAAAAAGACATACACAAGATATTAATACATTTTAATAAATATCAAAAATTCCACCGATGAATTCTTGAATTAATCAAGGAACAAATAAATAATAAATCACCTAGAAAGGTTGTGAATAAAGTAATAAAAATTAGAGAAAAATATGAGTTGTAAATAGGAACAAATCGAAGAATTTTTGCTTCGATATATTCTAAATTAAAATACATTCACGTTGGATCAAAGATTTCTTTGTACGGTTGCACACCCTGATTCGTTTGTTTTACCGAAACACGTTTACTTTACGACCTCGCTATATCGTGGCCTGTACTATACATCCTACATCGTAGCATTCCTAACAGTAAAGTTACATCAAATGTTTTATGAAAATCAGTTCCATCGTCGTGAAACGATCTTAAAATACATTAATTATTGTTCAATCTGGCGGATCATCATGCCAACATAACAGATCGAATTGGTCGATGGAAAATGCTTGATCGTAGCTCGATATGGGTATTCATCGAGAGGCATTTAAATTTAAATTTCTCAGCGGCCGTTACATAACGAAGAAAATATTTAAGCGGCAGTATTTCAGCGGTAGTCACGACGGGGAGGGGGGGCGGGTAGGGTAACGAGGAAAATTTCTAACGGCGCAGACTATGTGGCACCAGTCGTAACACGCGACAGCACGTTCTCCGTGAAAAATCCAGTATTTCCAGTATTTCTAGTATTGATGAGAAGAGTCCTCCTCGAGGTCGAACGCGAAGGTGAGTCTACGGGGGCAACTTTGCCATTCCGAGGATTTCCATGACGTATACCGCGGTGTTCGAATCGGTAGCGTTTTTATCAAGCAAAATTTTTACCATAAACTCGTTCAAAATGAAGAAAAATATATTTCCACCACCCACGTTTCTTCGTTTCGCGGTGAAAACGGTCGAAATTTTATTTTGGCTGTTGGCAATCGTTATCCACCATGAAAAAATTTGTTGTTTACGTTCAGTTATTGTCAATTGTTATCAACATTATTGATAACAGTGTTTACTCTTTGTTAGCATACAATAAATTGTACAACTCGTACATGTATTTTACCATGCAAAGAAAAAGGATAGAAATATATGAACGTTTGCTTTGTAAGCAGATTAATTAATATTTTTCATAGAAACTTTCATAGAAATAAAAAATAATTAATTTTTAGGGTAAACGCTACTTCGAATGTTTGTTTCAAATGTTTTGCACCGTCAGAATTTAGCGTGATGTCATAAATTGTATTACAAGGTCGATGCTATTTCATTGCATTCCAGAATCACGATCCATTCCAAATCTCTATTCGTCCTTGCCATAAATCCTCACAATACATAAAACAACAGATACCTCCTAAGCTATACATGTAAACAATGCAAAAAAATAAAAGGGATTCGAAGTTAATTCAATTATCGAAAATTAAATTGTAAAATTTGGTGAAAAGGTTGAATCTGCATTTGAGAAACCAACACAATACAACTTGACACTGACCATAACCGAGAATTTCTGTCTCGCGAACTATGATAATTTCATATTTGTTTACTCTTCTAACATTTTTCTCGTGGCTGTTAATACGCATGTAATTGCAAAATTGCGACGCTATTGCGTTCCAGAATCCTTTTCAGAAAGAAATTAATTTTTAAGAAACGTTCGGGAACACGACGTCGAGCATTCTGTAGTCGGTCAAGTATTCGTTCAAAGCTTACGCGGTACTGCAATTAAACCACGAAACTCGAGTCGACTGCGTTTTTTATGCCCCGCTGTACATTATGACTTGATGTATAGTGTACCGAATGTCGGATGATAAATACACAGAACGAGACTTCGCGCGAATTTAACGTTACGATCGAAACGTGTACCTTCATTAACCCACATGGAAAGAGAAGAAAAAAACGTATGACGTAAATAACGCAGTATTCGGAATAATCAACTTCTTAATTAATATGTATTTAATGCTGTCCACCTCCGTCGCGTTTGCTATACGCACTGTTCGTACCACATTTCTTACTTTTAATGTTGCAAGAAGCCTTCGTTCGGTTTCAATTTCAAACTTGCAACACATTCTTTATCAAGGCGTCGGAAAAAATTATAAAAATGCAGAAAAGTTGGGAATAAAGTCATTGAATAATTTTTCTTTCATTTTTACGAAACGAGTAATCTAGTTAAATTATAGGTTAAACAATTATTACAAATTTTACATATGTTACAATTATTACAATTTTTACATATGTTACAATTATTAACTTCCTTCTTTAACTTTTAAGTCTGCAAAAAAAATTTGTATTTTGTTTATTTAATAGTGAACAAAATTTCAGTCGAAAGTGAAGTACAAAATGTTGCAATTATAGTCATTCATATAAAAAAACAATTTGTTGCAACATTTTTCACCTTTCAATTTCCATTTAACGTTTAGATGAACACGTGGTGTTTATGAAAGACCCCAAATTTATTAGTTTTTATTTAATTCATTCGATAGTTGTCTTTCAACCCCTTCGATCTTATCTAAATTATCTTGAATCGATTAAAATAAATAAATCAGTTATTTAAGTAATATATTATAATATTTTATACGAATCTAAAGACTCTTTCTAATTTTTCGTCAGCTTTGAAGAATTTTTCTCCTATCACTTTTATGAGAGTGGAAGGGAGTACAATTCAATTGATCCGAGAACGAGAACTCGAAAGATCCGAATGTTTCAAATATGATTCGTATATAAATAATATAAATATAGACATAGTCTTTTACTTTATCTTTTTCTTTTGCTCCCTTTGCCTTTTTTCTACACTAAACGTTCGATCGTAATATGTTCGAATCTTCCGATTCGGATATATCGAAATCTCGGATCTGCTAAGTTCGAATACTCGAAGATTGCAAACGATGGCAGAAACTAAAGCAAAGAGAAACGAGGAACCACGAAGGCAAAGTTGTAACTAAATTTATTGTAACCAAACAATTGGAAATAAATTATTTCTTAAATCGAACGAAATCACTCGCGTGTTAGCGACGCCGTGTCGAAACAAATGAAGGTATCGGTATCTCTGGGGAAGTGTCGATATTAGTCACACGTTTCACGCGTGTCACTGTTTCTCTACGCATGCTCACGATTGTCACACTACAGCGACAGGATCAGGGTGGTGGAGGCTCTTGGACACGTGTCACGGCGCGTGGACAGGCTTGATCTGCAATATGAATATAACATCTAAATTTTACATAATCTGTGTCGAGTGTCATTTCGGATAACGAGTTCTAAGGCCGCCGACATTTCATCGTATACGCGACATTTATCACTCGCACACCACATCCGTGCACGACTTGAACCACGGGGGACAATTTACTCCTGCGATTATTATAACAAGAATCAAAATTTCGTAAGATTCGTTATTTATTTCACTATTGCTATTTTTTCCAACACACTTTTAATGGAAAATTCTGACAAAATTCACTGAAACACTCCGAAGAATGTAGGAGGAAAGTAGACAAAAATGAAGGATCAACAAGTTTCTGTCGTTTAATAAATAATAGTAGAAAAAAAAAACTTTAAAACTCAAAATTTTCAATGAAAATTATTAAGATTTTCGTTGATTAAAGTCAGTATCCTACAAAGAAAATTACAGAAAAGAAAACCGAAAAACGACAATTAAAATACGTTGAAAATACACTTGATTCTCCAACAAAAAATTCATGCTACATAGTATTCTCCTGAAAATTGCTGGCGAATTAAATTTAACACACTGGATACCTCTAAAATTTCTGTCACACAGCAAACAAGGAAATGTGAAACAGTATATCCGTGTGTATAAATTTCAATCATATAATGCGATTTTAATTTTTTGTAGACAAAAATTAGATGGACGATTTAAAAACCCTTAAAATGGCGGATCTATTCTCTTATTTCTCATTTTACTACCAGGTTTCTTGATAATTTCACTGTATTTGTATTCGAAGCCCCAATAGTTTAAGTCGTTGGGGAAGGTTTGGGAAAAATGTAACGGTGGATCGAGCAGCAACGAAATATCGAATGGTGAAGTAACAATTACGAGGGAATTCGGTGGGCAGAGTTTGCTATCGTTCCCCTACAAAGATTCAGTTGACGCGGGCAAAATAATGTAAGCGTTTTAAGAGGTTTGGCGTGCCAACGGAATTCCTTCCAACGCATCAAAATGCATACGAACGAGGTAGGCGGGATGATGCAAAAGAAAGGAACGTTTGGGTCCACCTCGCTGATCCACCAACGAGCCAATAACCCGGCTGAATTAAACCGAACGAGTAATGAACGTTCACCCGGGCGTCACGGGTACCGTTCGCGGCTGCTGCTGTTCACCTGTGTTCTGTAACACGAGATGCATTCGTATTACGCAAGTTCTGTTCCTAGCGGCTTACCGCACGCAGCTCGTACGCAACTGGGTTATTATTTACAATCCACGGCGTTCTCCGTCATTACTCTTAATTTCAACGTTTCCCGATTTCTTCCTCCCTGCTGTCGTAAATCAACGACATCGTTAGAAGAAAATAACACGATGTTTTAATTCGCCAGAGTGATTAAAACGCAGCTACATCCGATCTACGAGAAAGTGGATCGTAGAAAGTGGAAAAACATTGTTCGATAACGATTCGATATAAAATTACACGGCGAGTTGCCATCAGTTTCTCACGGATCATCGTTTATGTTTATTATCCGTCATGTATGTTTTCAAATTCCGAAGATTCTTCGCGCGAGACGAGAAATATCGATACGGTTCTGCTCCATGTTTTTTAGCAATATTTCCGACCATATGTTCCCGATCGGATTCGGGCCATTCCATACATTTTTACGCTTTCATACGATTTTGTGTGCTTTTTGCAACCGTTCTCTCGGGTAAACTTTTGTCTAAAATAATTTTTATGTATATGTGTATTGGATCGTTATTCTGTCGAATGCAATCGATACAAGATCCGCCATCGTGTTTTGTTGAAACCGATTTCCCTGTCTGATAGTTAATTAAAATATTAATATCTCTTCTGATATTCTTAAAAAGGTAGTCTACTGTAAATTTTCCTAAAGATCGAACTTTTTGTGCACAATTGTCAATCGAAAATTTATGGAAAGGGTTTAAAATCCCGTTAAGGCTCCTCCAATTTTACTGACATTCTAATTAATAAAAAACACATTATTCTGCAGACTGACTAATCATTTTTACTCACAATCAATTCCTTCAAGCTTTATCTAATAAACCAGGATCTGCCCTTTAAAATAAATACTAACAAACCGTCAATGAAAATCAAATCACCATAATTTGTACAATTTAAACAACTTTCTTAAACGTTTAAGAACATTTAGAAATATTCAATGAAAACAATCTTATCGCCAAATCGTTACTAATATCGTGAATTTATATTGAATGAAGCACACTAGATTATCAATGCAAGACTTGTTCAACTCGAACGTCGAGTGAATTTTCGACAGGCATAAACTTTCGAGTAAACTGCAGAGTGTTTGTACTACAGTTGCGTGCCCATTAATGGCATCTAAGAGTACCGGTTTGCTCTATAACATGCAAAGTACTTTCTTACGAGCGTGCGTTAAAAGAGGAAGATCACGAACAACAGTATTTTGTCATTCCGTTAATTACAGAAATATTATCAACGTATCGGAATGAAGATAGAATCGTGAACTAGCCGCACGTTGCAATTTGTCGGCCATAATTTCTTTCCACCGCTAATTATCTCGTACATGTTTTCCTTATCTGTCAGAGGCGATCCGCCGCGTACCGTGCTTTCAATTTGTACCGCTGCTAATAGTAATGTCCGTCGTATGGGACCGTGCTAGGTAATCGCGCGAAATTTATTTGAATATCATTAATCATTCGGAGATCGCGAACGATTAGGTTCCGTTGTACAGGATCTTCCAATAAGACCGATGGCACTTCCAAGCGATGCAAAACGAAAACCGCAAAAGATAATCTGTTGCTCGTTGTTTTATTTTGATGAAGTTACATTGGACGACATTGTACACTTATAAAAGTTAAAAGATGACATAGGTTAGGTCTGGGTTAGGTCTGGGTTATTCGTTTACTAATTTCAGGATCTATAGCTTGAAACTAAAAATAATAGTAAAATAACATTTCCTATATCGATATAAAGACTACAATTGAATTGAAAAAACAAAATAAAATGTTATCATACTATGCTAATTTTAGTTTCATTCTATGTATCCTAGAAAATAGAGGATACATAGAAATTAGTAAACGATCATGTTGTTTCTTAACTTTCGTCAGTAAGTGTACTCGAAATGTAATAATATAATAGAGAAGGCTGTTCATAAATCGTGAAGTAACATTCAGATAATGTAATATTAATGTAAGGGTTAAAGTTTGTTAACCCTTTGCACTCGAAGAATTCATTTAAAATTATAATAGACGCGACTGTGGCTGCCTTGATGCAATTTTGGGGAACGAAAATTGGCCTTTCTCCCCAAAAATATTTACGGAAAGCTTGTAATTTTAATTTCAATCCGAGCACCAAGGGACTGACGTTTAACACGTGTATTCTTGATTGTTGCAGGTTACCACAGCTTGCCGTTTTAGCGAAGATTTTGTGCCTCCTGATGGTAAGTAACTGCACACGATATGTTTATTTCCTACTGTTGGGTTGTGTAACCCGTTCGTTCAATATTAAATACTGCCAATTTTCTATAGAACTCGAACTCAGAACGTTTAATTTAATTATTTTGAGTTGTTACATCCGTGTTTACAACGATAAAAACCGACTACAAGTATTGTCGCCTTTTTTTCATTCCTAATTTTTAATACGTTTCCTTAAACATGGAAAAAAGCAAATATTATTTTTGGAACATGTTAATTCTTTTAAATAGTATTTTTCTATTGTTTGAAGCTTGTTTTCTAAATAGAAACAATGGTTATATTAAGAAATTATATGGTTGCTTTTAATTTATCAAATGGTATATATTAAAGTACCGCCATTGATGCGAACGAACCTATTACACAACTTAATATTAATTTTAACATTACTATTTCACTTTTGCTCTTGTGTGTAAGAATTCCAATCGATTTCGAAGTTAGTAAAGTCTATGTGCATCAAGTCGTGCTGGTAATTTTCTTTAATACACGAAACACTTAACCCTTCGAGCATCATAAAACGAACAAACCAAAACATTCAAATTCCTTGTGCAAAACGAAATAGAAATGTCTTTTACCATTTTGCGATCCGCGGTTTCGTTATCGAGATATAGAAAGTTAAAGTTTTTGCGCCCGCGAACTGACGCGCGCCATAAATTCCATCGATGAACTTTAAGCGTCTAAATCTCGAAAACAAAGCCTCCGATCGTAAAATGGCAAAGGACTTTTCGATTCCTTTTTGCTCGAGAAATTTATATGTTTTGTCTTACCCCATCGTTTTAAACAAACAGAGAGCTAGTTTAATAATAATCTTGATGAATGTACAAAAGAAGCTTTATGAAAAGTTGCAATACAAATGCCACTCAAATCAACAGACATTAATATTATGAAACATCCCTGAAACAAAATGAAGTAAAATATCGTTCAGCAATCAATATATTTGTACGATTCTTGATACTCTAAACAGAATTTTTAGTTGGTAACTAGTATACATAGAAAGAATACACATTGATGTGTTAATAAAGAATCACTTTGGCTCGAACACACAATAGTAAAAATAACTTAGATGTACCATTTCGACTGACGTACGTTGTATGAATTTTCACGATGGAAAAACGAACTCCGAATATAACCCTCGGCTATTCGTGTATCAAAGATAGATAACGTTCGTTCTACTTTCCCACAATTACATTTAAAAAAGCGTACCAGTCGTCTGAAATGTTTTCACGTTGTATCCATAGTTTAAGGGAAATACCGCTGACCCAGTTACAGTGCCTTTAACGAGCCGTGTAAAATTTGAACGAGGGCTTTGGCCGCGTTCGTGCGGAATCCGTAAACTTACATACTTACATTATTCGATGGATACGTAAGCGGATACGTGCCAGATCTTTGTGTACGAACGGTGACTAGGTCAGATCAAAGATACCCGTTGCACGAAGAGGTCGAGCTTCGGGAGGATCGCGTGCTGAAAGTCAATTTAACAAGTAGTCTCTACAATTGCCCACCGAAGACTTCGATGACATTTAAAGGGACCAATTTAGAAGTTCGAAAACCTCTTGAAAATACACCGAGCCACCGTTTCTATTCGAAATCAATTATGGCTCTGCTAAACGCCACCGTTCTCGAGATAATTGAACCTGTCCGCAACACAACTTTTAAGTGGGATTCTCGCGTGACAGTTCGAAAAATAACTGATATTTACGAATTTTTTTTTTTTTGAAAGACTATTCTCAATTTGGTGTGTTTCTGTTTAGAGATAAAAGAAGACATCTTCAAATGACAGAAAATAATTTTGTTATGTCGATCCTTTTTATCGATTAATTAGTGTATGTTACGTGAAAATCTTCCGTTAAAGACTTGAACTTCGAAGTTTGATCATTTTATAATATAATCATCCCACATTGGAACTATCAGATAAGGTTCTTTTGCAAGATTTATTATCGATGATTTTATCGAAATTATGTGACAGTTTACACAGCAAATGTCAGTTAAAATCATACACGTGCACACGTAGGAGTTTTTCGCTTGTAAATAATTTTTACTATTGTTGTTTTGAAACTTCCATATAAATTCCTTGAACAAAAAGAAATCCAAAAGCCCTTTGCCATTTTACGATTGGAGGCTTCCTTTTCGAGATTTAAACGCTTAAAGTTTATCGATGGAATTCATGGCGCGCGCTAGTGATATCCGCAGCCAGCTGATCGCGCGCATGCGCAGACTCGATTCACGAACTCGAAGGCGTTCGAAACTTTATCTTTTTATTTTCTCGATAACGAAACCGCGAATTGCAAAATGACAAAAGACATTTCGATTTCGTTTTGCACAAGGAATCTGAATATTTTCGTTTGTCCCATCGTTTTATGATGCTCGAAGGGTTAAGTGTTTTGTATATTAGAGAAAGTTACTTTTTGAAATATACTTTGCACTAAAAATAATAAATAAATAATTATGAATTAATCCAGTCCTATCCAATCTTTCTTCAAAGTGCAGAGAGTTTGATTTCGTTGACATTTCTGAAGAAAATATGAAAGCATCATTTCGTCGTGCCGGGAATAAACAAGCGCCAAGGCGTACAGAATATTTGCGTATAGTACTTACGCGCTGGAAATGTTTGTCTGGTCGTCGTAACATCGGTACGGCGCCACTTCTAAAACTAAAAAAGACGCCACACTTCGTGGCCATTAATGGACAGTCCGTGTTCGTTCGTTAACAAACCTCGCCATCGGTATCCATCTTTTGTAGTCTCCGCTCTAACGACGTTCCTCTGTCTTTTTACAATACCGTGCATTTTTTACTCCCGCGGACGAACCGCAAAAAGAAACCCGGCGAACGACTCGACGGATGATTCGATGCTATGATTTGTTAATCGCCCGTAAAAATGTTCTTGTTCGCGGTCGTGAAAGAGTTGTGACTCCTTTAACGATTCCGTGTTCGGTCGTCGAACCGAAAACACGCGCGAATTCATGTGTCTTCGCGTCTTTTCAAAAATCCTGAGAACTGCGGGGATCTCTTCCCCCCGGATCGCGTCGTTTATTGCGCGGTAAAATAATGATTGACTTTCCGGGAATGCATATAAAACTTTAATTTGGTTATTATAAGTTACTGCGTCCCGTGCTGCACGCTAAAAAATAACAGATCGATATTTACAACTGGGAAAGGTACGACAAAAACCGATTACGAGCATCGTAATCTGCATCCTTTCGTTCCTGATTTTTAATGTTCATTATTAATTGTGTTTCCTTGAACTGAAATGATGGAACATTATAAACAAAATTTTACAAAAATTATTCGATATATTATTTTTATATCGGCCGTAGTGGGAGAGATTTTAAAGTCGAATCAACGTTTTTAAATCTTCATTTATGTGCAATAAAATGACCTTGAGAAATGTCAGAGAAACAACATATTTGGTTCAATGGAGCACATGTTATGACCGACAAAAGAATTTGTAAGATATTAAAAGTTTATTTAATATCTTGTATTATATCAAATATCTTATCTCAGTCGAATTTAAGAGTCTCGTATCTTTAATAGCTGTGAGTGGAGAAAGAGACATTATTCGTGTTTGAAAACAGTTATTCTTGGAGTCTTCCCCTCGCCCCTTCGGTATAGAAAGATTAAAGTGTGACGATTAGTGTAGAAAATATCAAACAGGACCATAATCATGCGAAGAGACGACGGAATAAAAAATGTGTCTGCTCCAAAAATGGAGACGTCTCGATGGTTCCAAGTTCATGTTTCCTTTTTTCAGTAGAATTCTATTAGTTATTCGAAGTTCTGTTTAATCTCAAAAAGAACCCCCACAACCTGAATGTTTAAGGATTGTTAGTGAAATAACATTCCATCTTTTTCTCTGAGACGTTGGCACTTTCATCAACAAACGTACCTTACCAAACAATAACGATACAGTATCAAAACAAAGACTAGTTTTGCTTGTTGTGGTCAAGCACGACAATCATTACAAAGACACAATCGATAGATTGGATTCGAAGAACAAATTTCATGGTCACTTCGACCTACCGACTAGACGCCGGTTGATTACTTTCTCCGGAGGGGGGCATCTAAAAAACGAAGTTTATCGCGAGCTACGAACGACACTCGAAGACATGAAGGACCGTATCGTTAGGACGTGTAATGCCATGACTCCGAAAACACTTGAACGTGTATCTCTCACGCTGATTAACGCTTTGATGGCCACACGATTCACACAAAAACTATTGCGTGTCACCGGGGACTTCCGCGAGAGTTTCGATACGACGTCTTCGAACCGCTTCTCGACGCGAAACCGCTAAATTCAACGTTCTATGAATATTCAGATATCGGTCCTACACGGTTTTCACTATAAAATGAATACGTTAGTATCAATTTTATTCGTTTTGCGGAACTCCGTTAGCCTGTTAATTATCGTCACAGACTATAATGAGAGATCTTGGAAGGTGGTTTGAAAGAAATGGAACAGTTTGAATTGTTTCTTCGCGAATTTGGATAAATTATCATCTCGTGGCAAAACTAAAGCAACCAGAATCTGATTTAAGTACTAAATTTCCCCTTGAAAATCGTGTTTTATTGAAAAGATTTTTTCGTGAAACAAATATCCTTTATATTTGAGAATTATTTTGAGTCGTCATATTACATGGCTTACTTTGCATGTTTGAGGTTGTTTATAATGATCGAGCATGTAAATTGGACTTGGATGCACATAAGACCACTGTTTCAGATATTTATATTATTAAGTAAAGAATTATTATTGTCTCTTTTATGTAAACAATAAATGCATACACATACTTCTCTATACTTTATTTTTCTGTCTACTTTCTTTTGTGTTTGTATTTTCCTCCTATTGGACCTTGGATTTTCTGGATTTTCTTTATTTTTTCGCACTCGAAACCTAATTATTCTTTTACTTCAAAAAAACCATTTTTTCGTTAATGTAAAATTAAACAAATAATTAAATTTCGATGCAAGTCACAGAGGACGTGTTTGCAAGTGTTTTGGTATAAAAAGTAAATACCTCACGTGCTCAAGTTTCAAGATATTGTTGCAAATTTATTTGAATCGATACCTAAGCTAATAATAGAATTATGCTAAACAAAACAGTAGACCGTGCTACGAAGACGTGTGACCTGGATCGCGAATAAAGTTTGATTTCTGCTTGTATTTTGGTCACATTTATTTTCATATTTCGCTTATAAATCATATACTTTGCTAGTCTTTTAGTATTACGAAAAAAATCTGTCGAAACATTTTTTAAGAAACCTAACAAATAACAAGATTATTGACTCATCCTGTATACCTAATAGTTTCAACGTAATCTCTAAATAGAGATTTCGACAGATAATAGAGTCTTCGACAGATATAAATGTTACTTCTCCGCCTAATTTTTTTCGTCGAAAAGCACACGAATTTTAGTAGCATTTTCGTTGAAGTTTGTAGCTTTTGGCGAACGATTAGTATAGAGCAAATGTGTTTACGATTACAGGTGGTGATGTGCGGGGCGGTGCCGGCAATGGTGCGCTCCGTGAGTCTCTACTCGACTTGCAGCAGCGGCAATGTTACCGTAATGGCCCGCAAAATCAATGCCATAGGACGCGATGATCACAATGCACCCTATCGTAAGTAAGACTGTAATTAATTACACTGACCTAGAATACACGAGGAACATCTTAACACTACTTCTACCCCTGTTTTATGCACACCTATTTCGTCTAAGAAGTGTCTTTCGATACCGTTGCATTTGGAAACAATTAACTGTGGAAACAATTGTCGAACAAAGAATATTTTTATAAAGCCAAAGAGTCAAGGAAAATAATTTCAAGTTGAACTTCTAAAAGGTGTGTGTTCATTACCTTTAATAGAAACAATGTTAAAGACACGAATTATTTTTCGTAGAAATTTGAAATATATCAAAAATCAAGACACATAGAAAGACCAAAGCACATATCTCATGCAAGTATAATTGTAGAGTAATTTTGATTGATGAAAACAGTTACTTTTCCCGCGTTTCCAAAACAGAATTTATCAAAATACATGTGAGTCACCTTGAATGCACTAAACCTTTTATAATGCTAAAAGCGGAAGAAGAGAATGTATTGTAGGAAGCTGGTAAACTTCCAAGTGAGGAGGCACGGGGGCAAGAGGGGGGCTCTCCGTTCCCTCCACCTTCAATCACTCGTATTACGATGGTCCAGATTCCTCGAAAAATGTAAACTAAAATCAGATTTTTGACCCCGTTGGCAATCTATCTGTTATGTTTGTCCCGGTGCATTTTTCCACGTATCCCTCCTCGTACGAACCAATCGCAAAGACCAAAAGTGTCACGCGATACGGATCGATGTTATCCGCAGTTGGAAACTCGTTCGTTGTACCGTTTGTTGATAACGTAGCAATCTGTAATTTATTTCTTTTTTTCTGTAAACCCCTTGCCATAATCGAATACTATACATTTGAACAATTTCTCGTAATTAAATCGTACTCTAGGGGGTTAATTATTGTCGTGATTATAAGTTGATAGTTAAAACAGTCTAGGCGAGGATTAATTTTTGAATCGACAACAATAAGAGCATCTTTCAAATTTTTTAAAAAATGTCTTCTATACGTGCTATGAGCCAGCGATCCTAAGAAATGGAATTAACTTAAAATTATTCAAATAAGAATAAAGAACCTGGTGGAACCGATCAAAGCAATTACACAACGATGGAATAACGAGTATAAAAATGATGCGTGGTTTTCGACCAGGATATATCAAATTGGAGAATGTGTGGAGCCGATTTAATAAGAGTTCCGAACAAAAGAGTGGCGAGCTCCTCGAAGAAATAAACGTTTGGAGCTGGGGGCACTAAAGATCTAAATTTATAGCGATTCTTATCGATCAAAGTGGGGGGCAAGGGCTTATCTCGTTCGCTTTTGCTAGCAAGCGCCACCGAGAGCCCCTTTCTAGCCGGAGTTTTATCTTTTCGAACTAATAACCGAGCTCTATTTCCGCGGAGTCGACGAACGCAGACGGAGAGGAAGGAACGAAAGGAGTAAAAGAAGGCGGTCATCGAGAACTCACGATGAATTACAGCGTCCCGTTGTCTCGTTTCGTCTCGATTGTTTTCGACTAGACACTGTTTATCTCGTCTTTAACTGTGTCGGAAGGAGCTTGTACTCGTTTTCGTACTTATTTATTAGAACCGTCGTCGTCGTCGTGCCTCCGCCAAGTCGGGTTCAGGGTCGTTCTTCTAGAAATCGAGTTCAACGTATTAATGGAAGTTACAGAGAAAGTTTCGTACTCGTAATGCTCTGACGATTATCTCTGCGTAAGATTTATCAAGCCTCGCTTATCGGTACGTATAAAGGAGTAATTCGACGACAAATTGCCCATGAATATTATCAGTTGCATCTCGGAAGCGAGACATTGAAATATCACCAATGGGAGTCGCACAGATTGAATGAATATAATTAATTGCATAAACAGTTACGGGTGTGCTTGGTCTTTGACGGAAAATGCAACAGTTATCGGACGTGTAATCGTACGTTATGCAAATTTATCTATTTACCATACGAAAACGGAAGAAAACACCGAGAATTTTCTTTTATCGATCTTCGTCGTTAGACTTGACAGGTGATTTTGTATCTTCGAATTTTCAGACATTCCTAAGAAAATTAAGACATCCATCTTGCATTTAATTTCAGTCTGATTCTTCCAGTCAATGTGCAGTTGAGTTTATTCTGTTGATATTATATGTCAGAAGTAAGAATTCCTAGTAATAATAGTCCTCTGTCTTCAAGAGTGATCCTTGGTTTGTCCAATTCTTTGATTCTTCAAATGATGCAAATGGACTTTATTTTATTCTTTTGGAAGTCTGATGGAGCTCATGGACTCTTGTCCCAACGTTCTTTCGTTTTTCTTCCTTCTCAGCTGGAATCTTGCTCATTCAATAGACGATCTCTTGTTTAATCAAATGTTACTTGGTACTTTTATTCAAACTCCGTGAGTCCACTGTACGAAAGAACTGTACAAGCAGAAGTGTCACACAGAATGGATGAAAATCAACAACTTCAGCCAGAATCTGAAAACACTTCGTGGAAAGAAGGGTCAAAGAGGAATAACTGACTTAAGCAATCAACCAGACTACTAGAAAAATTGCAAGAGAAACAAAAACTCTCATTCATCAAACCTAGTCTCGAGACCTAAACTCTGTAAATGAACAAACATTGAAGACAAATGAAGACCATGTTCAGGGGTTGACTCAAACGTTTGTATCATCAAAGCTCCTTTTTTTGCAAAAGGTTACACGTAATAATGGAAGACACGTTTCAGACCAAGTTGTTCAGCAACTCTTCAAAAAGAGGAGCAAAGTTGGCACGAAAAAGTGCAATTACTTATGGACTCAGCCCCATAATTACAAGAGTACGGAGCAGATGACCCGGGTCAGGCTAGCATCGCAACTGGCGAACGTTCCTCCGTTTCTTCGTGACTTCTCAGAGACTTTTCGAGCATCGAGCACGTTCGAATGGTACTCCGGAGCCTTATGGATGTCCGGATACCGGGCTTCCGGCATCGTGGCAGCGATCATTAGCGCCAGAGAGTACTAGGAGGATTTCGCGGTAAGGTCGAATCCACGAATGTGTTCGTGGTCGGTGTCAGCAACGAGCTGTCCGCCTTATCCGCGGCGCGAGTGCGAGGCGGCTCCTCTTCTGATTCCCGGTCGCGAGGAAGGGGAGAGAAGGAAGGTCTGAAAGGAGGGAAGAAGGCTTGTGCAAACAGAGGAGCCAGTTTTCGCGCCGCACGCTGCGCCGCGTCTACACCTCCCCGAGATCCATCACATTCGTCCACCTCTTCCACCTTTTTCCACCTCCTTCGTCTACCGTTGCTGCCGCTCTGCCCTCCACCTTTTCCTTCTGTTACACCGTATCTCCTGCCTCTCTCGGCACTTTACTCCGCACAACGAGCCTCTCCTGACCGGCGATTACTCAAGCTCCGCTCGCGAAACGGACCGTCCTCGCGCGAGGGTTTCAGACACCGTGAGAGCGTCCTTGAAGGCTTTGAATTCTGACTGCCGGAGCGGCGAAACGACTCTCCGCGGATACCTCCTCCGCGAGCCCCGGCGGACTTGACAGATAATTAGCCGCGCGTAGAAAATTGTTTGTTTGCGTACCGGTCGTTAATTAGCCACCTCGACCTTACGAATCTGTTTTACGACCGCGCCGGTCGTGTTGATTTATACGCTATAAAACCGCGATGGATAATTAACGACCGCCCCGGTACACATTTGTTACCGAATCGCGGATCAAGAACAATTCGGATTCCTTCGTTTATGATAGCGAATCTTTCAAAATTCATGGAGTGGTCTGCCTGTTAGTAAATCTAGCAAACAACTCGAATATGGAAATTCTTAGCCACCAAGTGGTTGTTAAAATTTTAATGGGAGATTCTAGATGCCAAAATAAGACGAAAATCAAGAATTCCCATTTGTTGATCGAGGCTTCGTTAAAAAGTTATTAACGTTTAAAGTTGCTCCACGATGAGTGCTCGCGACTCGTCAGGTCGCCATGTTTGGCATTCAACGTGTTGCAGGAAGACAAAGCATAGTTCTTAATACATAACGTATCTGTTGTGTTTATCTATAGCGTACCTTCGTGTTAACGATAGCGAGAAATGATTTATATTAAATCCGAGATTATTGGAGCAGTTCTGCTTCACAATATGAACCTAAGAGAAAGATTGAAGACAAGGACGCTTATTAGAATTTTGTCTAGAAAAGGATAAAAATGCTACACTAAAACTTAATTAATAATTACTTTCTAATATAATACCACTATTCCAAATATTTTTGCAGTCTTATTAAAATTTACTCTTACCTATCGTTAATGTTAAACAAAATATACACGAGTCAATGGTATCACGGTTTTCACGTGATTTATTTCCAATGAAAATTAAATTTTAAATTGATCGTCCTGCCTTGGCTACGCCTTTGACGAAAGAGACGTCGAAAGGAGAGATACCGGGGCCCACAACAATAACCCTTCAGCCTGGAATTTAATTATTCTAGTTTCCGAGAGGCCGTGATTACCGTGTCAGTCGGGCAAATCAGGGTTGCACCTGTCACAAGCCTTCATCCGTACTGTGACAACCGGTGCGCGTTCCTTTATTTGCGTTTCGTTTGTAATCTCGTGCATCGACGTCGGTTACACCGAACCGTTCCCGTGTGCACCGACGAATCGCGCGTTTAGGTGTTAACGACAGGATCGCTATTATACCTGGCAGGCTTATAACAAGAGTCGCGGTTATACTTTCCTTCTCTTATTTTGCCCTCTTTTCCCTTGTTCCTCTGCTTACGCGGTCGGTACTGGCCTGCTCGCTTTCGCGTTATATTATAGCTTTCATAACGTCGACATCGCGAAATTGTGGCACACCAGTGGTTCTCAGTCGATCGGTTGGGGAAAAGTAACGAAAATAATTTCGAAAGTCTGTCCAATTTTGTTGAAAAATTTTGTAACACGTGTAGCGATGATTTTCGCAATTTCCTCGTATGGAGGTAAGAGAATGTCAGTTTGGATAGCAATTTGGGACCATTTTGTTTCCTATGGAAGGAAGTTATTAGTTGCGAACCTATAACGAAGGGAAGAA